TTTATAAAGATAAGCATATTTTTCCCATATGTTTTATGAATTCAAATCTCAGTTATTTACCTGAGAAATGAAAGTATATATTCACAAAAGACTTTTACAGATGAATCTCTAAAGTGTTATGCTAAGGGAAGGCCTATCCTCAAAGCATACTGTTTTATTCCATTTATACAAAGTTCTAGACAATACAAGCCAATCTGTATGGAGAGCAAGTTAGTGATTGTCTTGACCCATAAGTACGTGTGGGAGATTGTCCGAGAAGGGGCATGAGGCAACTTTGGTGATGATGGAAATGTTTTGTATCTTTCTTTGGTGGTTATTAGTGTGGTGAATGCATTTAGCAAAACTTATTTAACTATGTACTTAACATATATATGTTTAACTGTTTGAAATTTTTAGTCCAATAAAAAATGGACATGTCATTAATTACATGTCATTAAGCCTGATACAAGTTACAAGTAAATACCTAGATTATTTTTCGTGAAACTAAGAATATCCAAAATAAAAAATTGTGTATGATCAGAACTACTGGTTGCAGATGGTTTGCAGAGACAAATGTAGAAGATACTGGCATGCATTTTGGTGAAAACTGAAGGGAAAGTGGGGAGCTCTACTGCTCTTGAATTAACATAATCTTTTCAAGTTTAGGAAATCAGTATAGGTAAATAAATTGAACATGTGCCTTAAGGACAACCACAGTAATAACAATTTTTATCTTTTAAGGTAGCATAAGAAACCTTATAAAGTGAAAACCAAGAAGGGAAAAAAATGAAAGAGTGAAATAAATGAAAAACATGAAATAAAATGCCAGAAACAAGTATTCTTTAAAATTAATGTAAATGGTTTACACTCACCAGTTAAACTCTCAATGAATTTTTCAATAGTTTAAGTAATAGCTACATGATTTTTAATTAAAGTGGTGAAAATAAAAGGATGGACAGTGATGTACCAGGCAAATATGAATGATAGCAATTAATAAAGCTAGACAGTAATCTGAAGAGATGTTCACCTATATATATTTCTGAAATTTAGTTGAGAAAGACAGAAGCTGAACCCACTAGAAAGTTTTGATATTTAATAAAGAACTTGATAAATGTATATATAAATCTAAATAAGCAACAGTTTTATAAAACTTATACCTAATGTTCTTAATGAAGGAAAGGAAACAAGGTGAAAGTAAGTATTGGGTAGCAATAACATCCCTAATGAGAAGGGGATGACTTTAAAACATTTGAATGTTCTTGTACTCTTCAGGGAAAGAGAAGAGATTATTAGTTTAGAATTCATGAGTATGTTAAACATTTAAGGGTAAATAAAGCAGAGAGTGTATATAATTTGTGGAACAAAAGAAGCCAAAATACAAAGAAAACAATAGAAGCCTGAATAAAAGCATATAATAGTTAAGGTAAATAAAAAAATATAAACTAAGATGTCAGAAAAAAATTCCAGATGTATCCATTATAGCAGTAAGTTAAAATGGAGTTAAAATGGACTGAACTGAACAGTTTAAAAAACATTATGAATTAAGGAAGATGAGCAAAATTTAGCTGTAGAATGCTTACAAGGACAAACCTAAAGCATATGAACACAAAAAAATTAAGAATATTAGGAAAGACTTATATCAGAAAACTTATCCTTATTCTCTTGTACATTTTCCCACCTCCTTTAGGTAACCACAGATTGATTACTATAAGTCATCTTTACATTTTCTAAAAATTTTACTCAAGTGGGATTACACAGTGTGTATTTTGTGTTCTGATTGTGTTATGCAACATAGTTATGCATGTATTCATGCATATTTTTCCATGTATCAGTCATTTGTTGCTCAGGTGTGTTCCATTATATATGTATATACACACATTGTATTTAATTTATGTGATATATGTATATAATTGTGCTTATTGATTTATTGATATAGTTAAGAGTTATATATATTGTTAGAGCTATTGTGAACAACAGTGCTATAAACATTCTTTTTTGAGTCATTTTGCAGACATATTTTTATTCCTCAGTAAATACTTATGAGTGAAGTTACTTCATGAAATAGGCATATGTTTAACATCATTACGAACTATCAAATTTTTGGCATTTTTAAGATGTGCCATGTTCTTAGGGCTTTATTTGTGATGATTACTCAGATGTCATCCCATTGTTATTCCTTCATATGTCGTGTACCTTTTTTTCCTTTGACTTTATATTTGGCATTCAGCAATATGATTCTCATGTCTCTAAATATGATTTGTATTAATTTTCTTTGGAATTTGCTGTACCTTTTGGACTTTCATTGTTTTTCATCATATTTAGACAATTTTTGGCCAATATTTTTCAAAAATTTTTTCTGCTGCAATTTCTTTTTTCCTTCTGAAACTCCAATTACATGTTGTTACAATATTTGATACCATCTCAATATAGCTATTTTCAAATTCTTTTTTTCTAATTCGAACAAATAGGAGATCTTGGGATCTGATGGGTTTGTTGTTGTTGTTGTTTTTGAGATGGAGTCTTGCTCTGTCCTCCAAGTTGGAGTGTAATGTCGCAATCTTCGCCTACTTCAACCTCTGCCTTCTGGGTTTGAGTGATTCTCCTGCCTCAGCTTCCTAAGTAGTTGAGATTACAAGTGCATGCCACCATGCTGGGCTAATTTTTGTATTTTTGTGGAGACAGGGTTTTCCCATGATAGCCAGGCTGGTCTTGAACTCCTGACCTCAGGTGATGCGCCCACCTCTGCCTCCCAAAGTGCTGGGATTACAGGTGGGAGCCACTGCACCTGGCCGGATGTGTTGATTTTTAAATGGGATCAGGGAGTGGGCTACACAGGGCTTCATTTTTTAATCTGAGTGATCCATCATAAGTGTTTAGTATATTATTATTTAGGCCACTTTTATGTTTAAAATACTTAATAATTCATGAAAAAATGGTAACCGTTGCCTAATGTATTGTCTAGAAATTTACTCCTCTTTCTTCTGTCTCCTCCTTCTTTCTTTTTCCTCCTTCTTTGAGATGGAGACTTCCCCAGCCATCCAGGCTGGGGGTGAGATGTTGCAGTCATAACTCTCTGTAGCCTCAAATTCTTGGACTCAAGCCATTCTCCTTGAAGATTGTTTGCAAGATTGTTTCAGCTCTTCTGGATCCCTTGTATTTCCGTGTTAATTTTAGGATTAGCTCATTCATTTCTACAAAAATAATTTATCTGGAATTTTAATAGAAAATGCATTGATCTGTAGGTCAGTTTGGGGAACATTGACATCTTAACAATATTATGGTTTCCAATTCATGCACATAGGTAGCATTCCATTTAGTTGGGTCTTTATTTTCTTTTAATGATGTTTTATAGTTTTCAGTGTAGACATTTTATACTTTTAAAAATGTCATTTCAAAATATTTATTGCTATTTCCGCCCCTCCTCCCCCAACCCCGTCCCCACTTCCCACTCCCCACTCCAAGGCAGGGTCTCAGTCTGTCGCCCAGGCTAGAGTGCAGTGGCACAACCTCAGCTCACTGCAACCTCGACCTCCGGGTCCCAAGCAATTCTCCCACATCAGCCTCTCAAGCTGTGGCTATAGGTGTGAGCCACCACACCGGGCTAATTTTTGTATTTTTTGTAGAGATGGGGTTTCACCATGTTGCCCAGGCTCGTCCTGAACTCTTGGGCTCAAGTAATCTGCCTGCCTTGGCCTCCCAAACTGTTGGCATTACTGGCATGGGCCACTGTGCCTGGCCCATTTGCATGATTTAAACAGAACAAAGAGTCTTCTGTGGATTTTCAGTTTCCCTCATTCATACAGAAAGATAACAATCACTTCATGTGGATATAGTGTTGACTATGTGCCAAGCACTCTTCTAAGCACTTTTATATACATTTTATTTTTAGTATAGATGAAGTCTGAGTTGGCCAGCTGGTCTTGAAATACAGAGCTCAAGTCATCTGCCTGCCCGGCCTCCCAAAGTGCTGGGATTACAGGCGTATGCGACCACGCCTGGCCACCACTGTATATTTATTTGTTTCCAGTAGTTTTGTAGAACTCGTTTATTAGTTCAAATGAGCTTTTTTTTTTTTTATCTGCCTACAAGATTGTCATCTTGAATAGAGATACTTTTACTTCTTTTTTGCCAGTGTATCTTTATCTATATTAAATGTTTGTGTGTGTGTTATAAAAATTGATAGCCTTATGTTTACAGAACTTACATGTTTATCATATGATTTGAAGAACATTACATTTTAAAAATATTGGTAATTCTTAAGCAATTTGTCTTTTATATTCATTGTATTTATCTGTAATGTTAATTCTCAATACATTGATACTCATTGTATTTATCTGAACGTGTCAGAAACATATAGCTAAAAAATGATGCATCAAAATAAGAAATGAACTTGTGCAGTCGTAAAAAGAACAAGATCATGTCTTTTGTGGGAACATGGTTGGAGCTGGAGGCTATTGTCCTTAGCAAACTAATGCAGGAACAGAAAACCAAATACTGCATATTCTCACTTATAAGTGGGAGCTAAATGATAAAAACTTGTGAACACAAAGAAGGAAACAACAGACAGTGAGGTCTAGTTGAAGGTGGAGATTGGGAAGAGGGAGAGGAGCAGAAAAAATAACTATTGAGTACTGGACTTAATACCTGGGTGAAATAATTTGTACAACAAACCCCCATTACATGAGTTTACCTTTGTAACCTTCATGTGTACCCCCCGAACCTAAAAATAAAAATGAACTTTTACACTTCTGGGCCTTCAGTCCAGTCACCCTTGTATTTCCTGAAGTTAATGATTCAATGAAAGAAGAAATAAAAGATTTCATTATTAAATTTTCTAATTGGGTTCACTGTTAACTAAGATCTATGACAGTTATGAGACTTGGGTCATATAATTATTTAGATATTTCTGAAATATTTAGCAAATACTCGTTATTAAATTTCATCTGTCTTTAGAAAAATTATTTCACGTTTCATTTTTCTTCACACTGATTTGAAATGTTCTGTTTTTTAAATTTTGCTAGGTATAACCCGGAAAAATCCCAGAACACCTCTTTCTGATCTCCAGGGCATGAATGCTCTAAATGAAAAAAACCAACAGTAAGTGTGTTTGGTTTATGTTTTCAAAGACATATAGAAGAAATAACTAGCATTCTTGTTGATATTTTTGTGACTTTAAAAGTACGAAGTAATTCAGGTGTTGTTTTTTTCTTAAATCCTTTATAAGTGATGTGATAACACATTAATAGGTTAAAGTTAACAAAATTTGTTTACAGTTGCTTCTGGTAAAATGGCTTTACAATTTTGAAAAAGTTTCTTCAGAATAATTTAAAATGAGCTCATATATTTTAATTGCTGAGACCCTTCGTGCATTTTATGTCTTTTACAAAATTTAAGGGTTATTCTGCTGCTTTCTGTGGAGAAATCTTATTGGGAAGTAATAATCGAATAGTTTGATTTACATCAAACCATCTAATACCTTTTTTGGGTGAGTGCGATTAACAAAGCTTACCTTTTACTATTTTCAATGACGAATTCCTGAGAACAATTTGACAGTAACAAATATAAATAATTTTATGAGTTCATAAAGTCTCTTTGTTTTTTATGTATACTATTTGATAAAGACTGTAATTTATATGAGGAGAAGAACATTGTTTCTAGAATGCATTCTCTGTGTTTTAAACATCATCAAAAAATTGAGCTTCCTAATACTCTGGTAATAAGGATGGTCTGTCATTAAAATGAAGGTATAACTTCACTGATCATTTTTTCTAATTGAGTTACCATGTCTTTCTAATACATAATTGTCACTTGTCTGCTCAATAACTTTTTCATGACTCCTTATTGTCTATTAAAAGTCTAGGTTCAATAACTTCATGTGCAAGATCTGTCATAGCCCAAGTATCTAGCCACAAATATATTCACTTTGAATGCCACAAATTAAACTATTTGCTATCTTTATATTGTATGTCCTTTGTTTTCTTAACAGTAGTATTTGACTAATTATGATATCTACCACCATATTTTCATGTTAAATTTTACCCCAAAACAAATTAGATAGTTAACCTTGACCTGTGTACCTTCAGTTTCATCTGTTGGCAGTATTCTCACCCTGGTCATCGGATGAGAACCCAATTTTCTTGGTTATATAAAAAAGAAACCGTGATATGCCTCATTTCACAAAGCAGTTAGTGGTTTTAAGTTTCCTAATTTCTAGTTCGTGTTTCTTTCTTTGTACTTTCCATTTTGGGTACCTGAAGTGGTCTATGTGGGTTTCTGGTTCAGTTCCAGACCACCACAATAAAACGAATTCTCAGTAAAACAAATCACACAGATTTTTTGGTTTCCCAGTGCATATAAAAGTTACATTTACACTATACTGTAGTCTGTCAATTGTGCAATAGTATTATGTTTAAAAAATATATACCTTAATTAAAAAATACTTTGTTGCTAATAAAACTAACAATCATCTGAGCCTTCAGTGAGTCATAATCTTTTTGCTGGTAGAGGGTCTTTCCTTGATGTTGATGGCTGCTGACTGATTAAGGTGGTGGATGCTGAAAATTGGAGGGGCTATGGCAATTTCTTAAAATAACACAATGAAATTTATTACATCAATTGCCTCTTCCTTATAGGAAAAATTTCTCTGTAGCATCCAGTGCTGTTTGATAGCATTTTAACCACAGTAGAACTCCAGAATTGGAGTCAATCCTCTTAAGCCCTGCCACTGCTTTATCAACTCAACTTATGTAACGCTTTGAGTCTTCTGTTGCCTGTTTTTAAAAGAATTTTTTCCTCAACAGTCCTTAACCACAGAATACGTTGTCATTTCAACAATTTTCACAGCATCTTCACCAGGAATGTATTTTTCTGCTGCATTTTTTCCTCCGTCTCCCTCCCTCCCTTCGTTCTTTCCTTCCTTCCTGCTTTCCTTCTTCCCTCACTTGCTTCCTTCCTTCCTCTCACTCTCTTCTCTCTTTCTCCTTTTGTTTCCTTTTTTTTTTCTCTAAAGCCAGAGTAGCACTCATGTTTTTAAATGAGAAAAATATAAGTGCACACACAAACCATCTTAAGTGCAATATATGATTCTCCCGTTTGGGAAGATGCATTATCTTAGGGATAATGATTCACTGACTTTTTTTAATGGTTTAGCACAAAATAATGAAAATACAAGCATTTCTAAAGGGTTTATTGATTACATGCCATTTATATATCTTGAATAAATGCTCTAAGCAAGTGGAAGCTGAGATTTATAAATATGGACAAATGTGAAATTGTTGTAAGTAGCTATCTCCTGATATTTATTTTTAAAAAATTTTAGTTCACTCATAATAATTATACATATTATAGGGTACAGTGTGATGTTTTGATACCTGTATACATTGTATAATGATCAAATTAAGGTAATTACCATATTCATCTCAAATATTTATCATTTTTTTGTGGTGGGAACATTTCTCTTTCAAAATTTTCTTTTCTAGCTATTTTCAGGTATATAATACCTTATTGTTAACTATAATCACTCCATTGTTCAATAGAAGACCAGAATTTATTCCTCTTGTCTTACTGTAACTTCATACCCATTGACAAACCTCTCCCCTTACTACACTGCTCCACCTTGTTACCTTTTCCAGTCTCTGATAATCACTGTTCTATTCAGTACTTCTGTGAGAGCAGCTTATTTAGATTCCACATATGAGTGGGGTCATGCAGTGTTTGTGTTTCTGTGTCTGGCTTATTTCAGTTAACATAATGTACTCTTATGTTTGTCCATGTTGTCCAAATGATAGGACTTTATTCTTTTTTTAATGACTGAATAGCATTCCATTGTGTATATATACCACATTTTGTTTATCCATTCATTTGTTGTTGGATCCTACTAGTTTACCTGGAGAGCCCTCCATTAATTATTACGTACTTTACCTGGGGAGCCCTCCATTAATTATTATGTTATAATCACTGATAATTTTGTGTTTTGTTCATTGCTACATCTGCAGTGTCTAGAGTCTCATAAGACTTAGTAAGTTTAATGCGTGTGTGAGTAGTGAGTGTGTGTGTGTGAATAAGACCTTTCAGGAGGAAATTAGATATTCCATAGGATGGGATGGTCTGTTAGGATTACAGATTCCTACAGTAGCATTTGAAAATTCTAAAATCTAACAAAGAGAGAAGATATTATAATCCATTATATTAGTTACTAGTTGTTGAATGATAATATATTTAAAGATGTCAACTACATGATGTGCTCATCTACATGCACATTTGTATGTGAATATGACGGAATTCATAGGAATTTGTTCTGAATGAGACAAAGGTTAGTCCCAACTGATTGGCAATCATTTGCATGAAATCATTTTTTTATTGGTTTAGCATTTTTTTTCTAAATTTTAACTTTAGTATTTAAAGTTTTATTTTATTTAAGCAATATAGTGTTAATTAGAGAGGTCTTGATTAACTAAAGCAAATTCGGTTTTTTACAGTGATACATTTGATATTGCCTGGAATGGCAGAACTGGGATTCGCCAGAGCAGACTATCAAGTAGCACCTCCTTGCTTGATAAAGATGGAATATTTGCTAATTCAACTAGCAGCAAACTCCTGGAGAGAGCCCATGGAATTCTCACGTCAGTACTGATCAGTAATGTGATTTTTTTTTTTTTTTTTTTGGTCTGGTTTAAAATTTCTGGCAGGAAAAAATGAAGGAGGGAGATGGTGAAGTGTTATTTTCATGGGAAGAATTTTGACTGAAACAAGACTCAAAGGTGTTCAGGTAGCATTTACAGCCATGAATCTCGTGTGTTGTAAAGCTTGTGTTTTTGTTGATTTTTCTGCCCCATATTACCAGGAGAATTGTGACTGAATATATTTATTATGGAGATGATAATAAAGGTCTTATTGTTTAGACAGGCCCTACCTTCAGAGAAAGAAAAAACTATTAGCTCCTTTTAGGATTCCCAATTTTTACTACAGGTCTCCTTTAATTCTAGCAGTCTTAACAAATTAGGCAAGAAAATCTATAAATGGTGAATGGTTGAGTAATACATGACACTTATCCAAGCTTTCCATTTCTCATAAACTGATTATAGAGTTGAAGACATAGCCATAACCATACTCTACCATGCTTCATAGAGACCCCATCTCTCCAAAAAAATAAGGAAAAGAAAAAAAATTAGCCAGGTGTGGTAGTGCATGCATGTAATTCCAGCTATTCAGGAGACTGAGGTAGGAGGGTCGTTTGAGCCAAGGAAGTTGAGGCTGCAATGAGTCTTGATCTTGCCATTGCACTTCAGCCTGGGTGACCGATTAAGATCCTGTCTCTGAGAGAAAAAAAAAAAAAGGAAAAAAAAGTTATTAATTATTAACATTAACATATTTTAGACATTTCCCAAGCATATCGTTTGACCACTAGCAAGAGGTGTGACTGAATTGGATTCCATAAGCCTTGTCTGAATCACTGCTTAATAATGTTAATAGGTTCTATTTATGTAGGTCTTGCTCTAGCCCAGAGATATACATAAACTCATTTAATCCTCACAATAACTTTTAAGTTATAGGTAGTATTGTCATCCCCATTTTACATTATTACATAATGAAAAGTTAAAGATGTTAAAATCATACCTTAACAGATGGTAGACCATAGATTGTTGTCCAGGTCTTTCTGACTTCCCAGCCCATATTCATAAGCGTTGGACTTTATTCCTTCTTTCTGTGGCCATAAAAAAAGCTAAAAATAAAATTAAAAAGACTTAAGTATGGTATTGAGGTTTGAATAAGGAAAAAAAAAAATGAGTGGAATAGAAGAATTTTTAATTACCAAAAATGGAAGATTACATTTTGGTGATAAGTATGTTTTTAAAAAATTTATGAAACAGACATCTCACTTAGTCTTGAAATGATAGAAATAAGTCTTCTGTAGGTACAAGAAGCTACTAACAACTGAAGAAAATGAACCTGTAGCTTAGAATGTACAACACAGTGTTACTAATCATCAGGTGTAAATCTGTTTATACTTATATAACAAGGCAGGTGTATTTTCCTTGTTTATTCTTCCTTCCCAAGGTGCCTGCTTGGCTGAATCAGATAGTGTTTTCATATAGAAGACCTACAGTCTTGATAGTGGGTATATAATCTGTTGTTTGAGGAGAGACTTTGAAATCTTACTTCTCTACAGTAGCTTTTGTTTTTGTTTTTGTTTTTATGCAGTAGCTTTTTTTAATGAATGATTTATCTCTATAGGAGAAACAAAAATTTCAAACCCAAGCCTGCCCTTCCAAAGGTGAGTACTATGAAAACTCTTTTTGTATTGGTATTCTGCTACACAATTATTTTTTATTACACATACAATCTTCATGCATCAAAAACAAGAAATAACCTTATTTGTATCCAAGATAGTGATTGTGCACTTAGTTGAATCCATTTTAGAAATAACACTGTTATGAAATGGTTAAGCCTAATGGTTCAGGTAAATATTTATTTGTGGTATATACCATTTTCTAGTATTTTAATAGCTCCTGAATATAAATGTTATTCAGTTATTGCCTCTTTATTTAAGGTCTTTTCATTTCTCCTTGAGCCAAGTTAAGGTCAAATTCTGAATTGTACCTGATTTTAAAATAATTTCTGTTTAGTGCTTACATAATCCAATTATCTATAATAAATGTTTGCCAGGTTTTTCTATAAAGGGACATTATCTTTTCAGGCTTATGGTTTCTGATATAACTAGTTGGCTCTACTGTTGTAGCAGAAATGCGGCTATAATTTGCATTCCAATAAAACTTTATTAATGGATATTGAAAATTGAATTTTATATAATTTTTCACATGCCATAAAATATTATTATTTTAACCCATATAAACCATATATAAATAATGGGAAGGGTTTGGTGAGCAGTACTTGCCCCTCTGTTAGTATAGCTCTGGTTTTTTATTTTTTTGCGGGGATTGTTGTTTCATTTTGCTTTGTTTGTTTTATTAATGTTTATAACAACTTTATTTGTAATAGCAAAAAACTGGAAGCAACTCAAACTTTCATCAACAGAAAAATGGATAAATACATTGTAGTATATCCATATAATTGAATATTTAACTCACCAATAAAAATTAATAAACTATTGATGCGTGTAACAACATGAATGAATCTCAAAATAATTGCACGCAATAGTGGATACTGTATATAAATCTCAGAAAATATGAATTGCAGTGACAGAGAACAAAGAGGTGGTTTTAAACACACACACATTTCCAGGGACTACAGTCCCCTGGATCAATGCAGATAAGTAGTTAAAAAGCACACTCCCCAGTTAATTTCTGGAAGGGGTTTGTCTGTGTACTTTTGTAGCTGTTGTTTGAGGATTGGGCTCCTCTCTAGTCTGTATCTGGTAGCCACAGGCAAACAAACAGTAGACCCCTGGGATACTGACTGAGTTCCAGCGTTTCCTGAGTTTTTTCATCTGACTTGCTCCAGCAATAAAGCTAGAGCAGATTGTCTCTATAGATTATCCCTGGAAGGAGTTTATTCATGGATTGATCACAACTGCCACAGCTCCCTCCCAAGGGATGGCCTCCTTAACCATATAGTTTTGGGAATAGTTCTGGGAATTGATGGGACACTGAATTTCTGAGTCTCTAGACCAGTGAAAACAAATAAATGGGCCCACTTTCTTCCCCCAAGATGAGATAATGCAGTCTGATCTAAAATGTAGGCGTTTGCTAGAATTCCTCTCTCCAGCGTAGTGCAGAGAGAATCCTACTTTCAGCTTCACCCTGAGGATAGAAGGAACTGGAACACACTTTTAACACTTCAACCTTTTTAGCTGTGTCTAGAGGGAATGACTTCTCTCTTACATGTTTTGAGGTAATGACAGAACTTGGCACATCCTAATTTCCTGGAGGCAGCAAAAAACAAAGGCAGCAGTTTGGACAAACACAAAGGTTTGAGAGTTACCTTAGAATTTCTGGCCAGACTGACTGGTTAGGTCCTTCTACATGAAACGGGACTGGGAGAAGCTATTAGGTTATCTAATGTGCAGAAAACACAGAGGGTAAAGGCAAATGAAGAAATGGGGAAGTGTGTTCCAAATAGAGAAACAAGATAAATTCAAAAAGTACCAGAAGGAGAAGAAAGAAAAAGTGAGATAAAACAGTTTCAAAGATGTAAAGGCAGAAAGCTACTCAAGTCTGGGGAAATAGAACTCCAGATCTAGAAAATTCAAAGGACACCAAATACTATCAATCCAAAGAGATCCATATTAAGGTACGTTATAATCAATTTGTCAAAAGTTAAAGACAGAGTATTTTTTAAAGAGCAACAATGAAAAAGCAACATGTTAAGTACAAGGGTCCCCCACAAGACTATCATCAGATTTTTCATGAGAAACCTTGCATGCCAGAGGTAGTGGGATTCAAAATCCTCTGAGAAAAAAGACCTGCCAACCATAGTACTATGCCCAGCAATTTTGTCTTTCAAAAATGAAAAGGAGAGATAACAACTTTCTCAGACAAACAATGGCTAAGGGAATTCAGCACTGCTAGACCTGACTTACAGGAAAGTAGAACTCTATTTTCTTGAACTTCTTTCTTGAGAGTTCTCTAAACAAAGTTCTTCAAGCTAAAGGACAGTGGTACCATGAGAATATGAAAGCAGAAAACTCACTGATAAAAGTAAGTACACTATCTAATTTAAACATTCTAATTATGTAATGCCAGTGTGTAAATCAATGATATCTCTAGTGTAAAGGTTGAAATACAAAACTGTTGAAACAATGGCAGCTACAAAAGTTTGTGAAGGGACACAAATTATAAAAAGATATAAAATGTAACATCAAAGAGATAAAACATGAAGGGTGAGTAAAAGTGTAGGATTTATGCGTGCAATGAAAGTTTAGTTTTTATAAGCATAAAATAGCCAGTTGTAAGTATATGACTGGCTTTTATGTAAGCCTCAAGGTGACCACCTTTAATGGATACACAAAAGATAAAAGGATGGAAGTCGTACCACTATAGAAAACCATCAAACCACAAGGGAAGACAGCAGTAGTGGAAGAAAGGCTCTACAAAACGATAAAATAACAAACAAAGTGGCACTAGTAAATCTTTACCTATCAATAACTGGTTTGAATGTAAATGGATTAAATTCTCCAATTAAAAGACACAGAGTGCCTGAATGCGTTAAAAGAAGAGAGACTCATCTATATACTACCTGCAAGAGACTCACTTTAGCTTTAACAGTGTACAGAGAATGAACATTAAGGGATGGGAAAAAATAGCCCATGCAAATAAAACCTGAAGAGACAGCAGCACTATCCTTATAACAGACAAAATAAAGTCAAAAACTGTAGATGAGATAAAGAAGGTCAATATATAATGATAAAAAGGGGTCTGGTCATCAAAAGGATGTAACAATTTTAAATATATATGCACCCAACATTGTAGCATCTAAATGTATAAAGCAAACATTGAGACTTCTGAAGAGAGAGATAAACTACAATACAGTAATCCTAGGGGATTTCAGTACCCCACTTTCAACAATGAACAGACCATCCACACCAAAAATCAATAAGGAAACAGTGGATTTGAAGAAAACATTGGACCAAATGCATTTAATAGACATATACAGAACATTTCAATCAACAGCAGCAGAATACAAATTCATCTGAAGCGCACATAGGACATTCTTCAGGAGATTACAGGCGTGAGCCACCATGCCTGACCAGTAATAAAAATTCTTTCATAAAAGAATAGTCTAGGACCAGATAGTTTCACAATGCAACACTACCAAATATTTAAAGAAAAATGAGTACTAGTCTTTCTCAAACTCTTTCAAAAAACTGAACTGGAGAGAATACCTGAAACTCATTTTACAAGGCCAGCATTACCCTGATAGCAAAGCGATACGAAAATACTACAAGAAAATTAGTTCAGCTACTATGGAGAAAGAAGTTCGGAGATTTCGCAAAGAACTAAGAGTTGAACTCCCATTCAACCCAGCAGTCCCATGACTGGGTGCATGCCCAAAGGAAAATAAATTGTTCTACCAAAAAGACACATGCACCTGTACGTTCATTCACAGTAGCAAAGACTACTGTGAATAGTGCAGATATCCTCATTAAAATGCCATTACACCGTATTCAATACAACATTTGAAAGGATCATTTACCATGATCAGTTGGGATTTATTCTTGGGATACAAGAATGGTTCAACATATGCAAATCAAGAAATGTGATTTACCATATTAACACAATGAATAGCAAAAACCATACTATCATCTCAACACATGCAGATAAAGAATTTGACAAAATTCAGCCTTTCATGATAAAAGCTCAACAAATTAGATGTAGAAGGACTGTTCCTCAATATAATTAGGCAATATGTGACAAGCCCACAGCTGCCATTATACTCATTGGTGAAAAGTTGAAAGCTTTTCTGTTAGGATCAGGAACAAGAAAAGGATGCCCACTGTCACCGCTTCTGTTACACTTCAATTCAGTGTATTACTGGAATTGTTAGCCACAGAAATTAGATAATAAGAAGAAATAAAAAGCATACAGATTTAAAAGGAAGAAGTGATATTGTGGTTGTCAACAGCATAACGTTGTATAGAAAATCCTCAAGACCCCACTAAAAAGCTGTTAGAACTGATACATAAATTCTGTAATGTGCTTCAGTAATGTTTCAGGATACAAAGTCAACATACAAAAATCAGCAGTGTTTCTTGCTTTTTTTTTTTTTTTTTTAAATAGAGACAGGATATCACTCTGCCACTCAGGCTGAAGTACAGGGACATGATCGTAGCTCACTGTACCTTGAACTCATGGGTTCAAGCAATCCTTCCACCTCGGCCTCCTCAGTAGCTAGGACTGCAGGTGCACACTACCACATCTGGCTATCAAATTTTTTTTTTTTTTTGGTAGAGTCTTCTTTCTCTGTGTTGCCCAGGCTGGTCTTGAAGTCTTAGCCTCAGATGATGTTCCTGCTTTGGCCTCCTAAAGTAATAGAGTTATAGTCATGTGCCACTGCACCCAGCCTAAAAATCAGTAGCATTTTATAAACTAAAAATGAACTATCTGAAAAAGAAATTAAGGAAACCATCCCATTTACAATAGCATCAAAAAATATAAACTATTTTATAGTAAACTTAACCAAAGATGTTAAAAATTTGTATACAAAGAATCATAAAACATTGATGAAATCAATGACAACGCAAATAAACAAATGATGTCCTGTGTTAGTGGGTTGGAAAAATTAATATTGTTAAAATCTCCATATTGCCCAAAGTGA